CAGGTTCTCTACTACAAAATGCTCTCCCACTACCTGAGGCCTTCTTTGTCGGTTCCATATGGTTCTATTATCTTTGAGCTGCTGCCATTCGAGTCCTGCTATATCTCAGAAAACTGATCGTTCAGCATCTTTAGCTATCTGGACGCCTGGCCAAGCACATCGACATGCTTCTCTGTGTGTTTCTTGTCCTCCTCCTCAGATGCAGATCTAGAAAATTGATGCAATGCACGGGCTTTCTACTACAAAATGATCCTCCTACCTTCAGGTCTTCTTTGTAGGTTCTACTATTTTCTGGGCGCTGCCATTGAAGTCGTCCCGTTATCTCTCACAACCCTATATAAACCCTACAAAAAATAGTCGTTCAGAATCTGTACATATTTGGATGCCTGACCAGGCACATCGTTTGTGTTTCTTATCCTTCTCCTCATGCAATTACTGCAATCCATGTGATATACTACAAAATGCTCTCCCACTACCTTAGGCCTTCTTCGTAGGTTCTATTATTCTGAATGCTGCAATTTTAGTTGGGATTGCTCTGATATGTCTCAGCGTCCTAGAGCTAGTAAAGCCACAACCCAGCTGGCCGGTCTTTGAATCTGTAGCTATCTGGATCTATCTGCATATATTTGGATGCGTGACCAGGCACATCGGCGCCCTTCTCTTTGCGCTTCTCTCCCTTCCCCTTCGCATCCAAGGCCTTGGCTCTACAAAGTGTGCAACGGACAAGGCTTGCTCTACAAAATGCAGTAACTAAGCCTTCTCTGTAAGCTCTCTGCTTTCCAGATTGCTGAAATTTCGGAGTCCCACTCTCAGCATCTTAGAGCTAGCCCAGCCACAATCCCACTGGCCTTTGGGAATCTATAGTACCTACAGTATCTGTCTTAAACAAAGTGGCCCCCATCTAGGGGTGGCCCCCGATTCACTGTCTTAAACAGAACAGAGGGGCAGGGTTTGGCAATTTGTAGTCAGCAGTGCTGCTGGTCTTTCATTGGCCTTGCTTGCCTGGCAGGTTGATTTTGTAGAGTGTTTGTTCTAACTGTTTGATGGATGTTGCACTTAATGCGGGTCATTGTGGCTGGATCGTTTTGTAGCACTGGTACCTGTGGACCTGCATTTTGTAAGGAGGCTTGTATCTAGGCGTTGTCATTTTGTAGAGTTTCAGGGTGAGCTGCGCTACAAACTGAGCGTACCCAACGTCAACCTGAAATTTTAACAGGGATCCACATTCACATTAACAACGCGACCCATTCCACATGTTTCTCTGCAGATGCCAGGAAAAATTCGCCTGGTGCAAGCTTGAAAGGCTG